AATTTATTCTTGACATTTGAGTCAATTTCTAGGATTAAAGACTCCTGATCTTTCGTCAAAATTTTCATAATTCCGCTCAAAACGATCCCAGAACAATGAATTTGCGAGACGAACAGGCCGCCATGAATCAGGTAAAACAATATGTTACATGCAATTTGATTGGTCCAATCGCTTGTAGTTAACCAATCGCTGGGCCGTTTATAATCGAGCTAAGACTTCCGCAACAAATAATGCCTTCAGTGATCTGATTAGTTGAAGCTTTCATACACGTCCAATCGCAGGGCTGTTTACAAACGGAAAACGGAGAGACTGTTCGGGAGAGCTCGTGAAAACTCGACGATAAGGTACCTGACCGCCCCTAAAATTTTCTCAACGGATTTAGACGATTCACAAAAATGATCAATTTAAGAAATAAAACGGCGGATTTCCGCGGATCCGCGGAAAATTGCCATGTATGATTATTCTATTTAAAGCCTAGTGGGCTGCAGTATTTCTCCTCGTAATTACGCAAATGCACATCAAGATCTTCTTTGTCTGGCCTCTTATTATGTGTTTCAGCGTAGTTTTGTGGTGCAAATTCATTTATCATGCTCATAAAAAAATGGAGATTATTTTAACCTTGAGAAATTGTTGCGCTTTTTTCTGCGGGGGTTCAGCGGGGGACCGCGGCTGCAGCCTCACCCGGAGGTGCTCCAGGCGGCAGGGACGCAGAAGCAAACCCCCGCCTACTCATTGGCCAGCAGTTTATAATATGGTGCGGCGCATATACTGTAATTACAAAATTGATTTTTCTTCATAAATCTGAACATGCGGCTCTTAATCAGGTGCGGTCTGTAGCCCGGAATTTACGGTAGTATAATTTTTATTTGCATAAAAAACATCCAAAACTGAGGAATTGCAATCACAGTACATAGGAAATGACAAAAAAAAAATATCATCACACTGTATACACCAGTGGTTCTCAAACTGTTTACAGTACAGCAAGTAACAGCAAAAAAAAAAAAAAAAAAGAGCAACATTAAAAATTAAAAGAGCATAGTGGGGCCTAAGTGTTTGTAAGAAACCATGGCAGAGGTTTTCTTCATAAATATCCGCCCATCCATCCATCCATTATCTGATCAGCTGAACCTCACAATAGTCGCGGGCGCTCTGGAGCCTATCCCAGCTGTCTTCGGGCAGTAGGCGGTGGACATCCTGAACTGGTTGCCAGCCGGGCACACAGAGACGAACGAACAACCATCAGCGCTCACACTCACATATAGGGACAATTTAGAGTGTTCAATCAGCCTGCCATGCATGTTTTTGGAATGTTGGAGAAAACCAACGCAGGCCCGGGAGAACATGCAAACTCCACACAGGGAGGCCGGAGCTGGAATCGAACCCTGCGCCTCTGCATCGTGAGGCCGGCGTGCTAATCAGTCGACCACCTTCTTCAGAACTATGATTATTTTATATCATTGTAATGAAAGCATAACACTGTTACTATAATTATAGATTTGTAATGAAATTCAGAGAAAGTAATATTTTAAGTAGGTTCTGTGCATAGCTACAAGTACGAATCGTTACTATTTTCAAGACTTCAATACCTGTATTCTGAAAACGGGTCTGTCTTCGGGCAGCCTGAACCGGTTGCCAGCCACTTGCATGGCACACATAGACAAACGACCATTCAAACTCACACTTACACCGAGGGACAATTTAGAATGTTCCATTAACTGCCACGCATGTTTTTGGAATGTGGGAGGAAACCAGAGTACCCGGAGAAAACCCACGCAGGCACAGGGAGGACATGTTAACTCCACACAAGGAGGCTGGAGCCTGACTCAAACCCTGCACCTCTGCAGTGTGAGGTCAAAGTGCTAACCACTCGCCCACCACGTTGCCGACCCCTGACATTCACTAATAAATTCCACCCCAAAGCTTTGGAGAACCATCATTTTCTAAAAGTGTACCTTATATTTTTTACATTTAACTAGATTGCTTCGATAGTTATAGCCCTCCCTCTTCCTCTCCCCTCCACAAAATAATTGTATCTATTCAATAAATCCCCAAAACAATTTCCTTTTGTTCATCTGTTTAGTGTTTACTTAGAATTTACTTTGTGCATCTGACAACTGCATTCTTTATGTAAAAATCACAAGAAAAATAAATCATAAATCTCAATATGAAATTCTAGCTTACAGTGCATTAAGGTCTCTAAAAAAAATAACATGATCAGTATGGTGCTCCATAGCTTTGAAGGTCTACTCATTTTCCCCTCACCTCAAAGTAGGCTACTGTGTGACAAAGAACATCTGGAACTTTTGATGGCAAAAGTACCGTTTTATATTTCTAAAAACAAATAAAAATACACAGAAGCCTGGAGTATTCATGACTGTGATATTCAAATCTTCCTAAGTGAGGCCTCACAAATATTATTTTCATATCAACTTGCAACGATTCAGAATTTAAAAGGCTTGCCATATCATTCTTATCATCCAAAGTCTGGGCATGTCATTTAGACACAGGTGACATGTGAAGACAGCTGGGGCAATTTGCACACCAAAAGGCGAAAAATAAATAAATAAATCAAATGAAATATCAAACAGCTGAGAAGCGATTCTCATTGTTCTCACCAAAAGAGCCTATCAAAAGAATGACTCGTGGCCAAAGTCACCACATGAAGACTGTATAAGATCTCACATCTAAATGACTTTCATTGCTAAGTAAATCTCAAGGTGGGCGATAGGATGATACATATCATCCTGCAATGGAAAACAATCTATCATGTCACTTTTCTACTTACTACGGGCTTAACCCCCGGTGCTTAATAGGCCAGGTGGGCCTGAATACTTTTTGAAGTACTTATTTTGAAGGACCCCTTTTTACATTCACTTGAGACACATCATTCTAAAGAGGGGTCGGCAACTCCGGTCCTCGAGAGCCGCTCTCTTGTTTGTTTTAAAGTTTCCCTCTTCCAACATACATGATTCGAATGATCAGCTCATCAGGAAAAGGGAAGCTTCTAAAACAGGCAGGACAGCGGCTCTCAAGGACCAGACTCGCATACTCCTCTTCTCAAGTAACATTTCTCTTATTTAAGTAACTTTTTTGGGGGCTACTGTACTCTACTCACCTCTGAATGTGTAGTTAAGGTTAACAAAATACACAGTATATTTCAATGTCATGCTCAAATACAGAGGGGCAAACAACGCCACTTTACCTTAACCCACGTGTGGTGTTAATTTAAACTATTTTGTGCTTCCAGTCATAAATGATCATTCCACTAAGTAACTCCATAAAAACTGAAATCTTTGATCTGATCACTACAAGTTGTGTTTGATATTTTAATGAAGTTCTCGTGAGTAATAGAACATTTGGACTTGTTTGGTGAAATATTCAAATCATTACGTTGTGCCTGTTGCCAACTGCATATATCTCCAGCAACGTTTGCTTCCCTTGGGTCTTTTCAGGAACACCATTTGGAATCTCCCCCCCCCCCAAAAAAAAACACAATTTGCCGTTGCACATTACCCATGGCCTTATGTCATATTTATATAGCTTGCTTGGCATATATTGCTTGACTGGGCAGTGTAGCGCAAGTTTGGACTTGGTTATAAATGAGTGGCAGATGTTTCACACTTCTGTGATTGCTGTCAGTTTGTTTTGTTGACAACCGCCTGGTCTTGTATGCCAGGTATTAAAGTCAGTCATCCGTGACGTGAAATTTTTGGAATGACACGGTCGAATGTAAAACTGTCCGACCAGACTCTACATCCACTAACTGCTTGTAGATTTTTATTTTGGACATCAAAAGTCCAATGCATGTGTTGATATAATCCTGGGTTAGAAACTTCCAAATGACTTGGTAAATGTGTGTCTCTTTCAAGTTTACCACAATGGTTATATTGAAATGTTGAAGAGCTCAAAGCAAAAACTTGATGTCATCAGATCAGTCCGGGATACAGCATATTTTTTGAGTCCTGGAGTCCTACTGGTGATATTTGAAAGCATACTTGGTTTCTGAAAAATCAATAATAAATGGAGGGCACTCATAAGAGCACTTTATCGACATCATTCGGTACCCAAAATGCTTTACAAAGCCCCACATTCACCCATTCACAGATACATTCAAACACAAATGGGATGGGGGTGAAGACGAGGATAGGTTGCTACTCTTGGATTAGAATGTGTCAGCAAACTCAGCACATTTTACTCTTCCATCATTGGATTCCTTTCTTGGTCTTAATTATATTCTGTGCCATCTGAAGTTTCTGACAAATCGTCCCCAAATTTATTCCTCACTGTTGTTTACCTGGCCTCAGCCCTCATAAGTGCGTTAACCATCAAAAATGTATCAATAACTTCACTTATGACATTGATCTGGCATGGTACGACCACATGACAAACTGTGGAAAGCCTCAAAAGTAAAAAAATAAATAAATAAATAGAATAACAACATAAAAAGCATTACAATATGTGTGTGTGTGTGTGTGTGTGTGTGTGTGTGTGTGTGTGTGTGTGTGTGTGTGTGTGTGTGTGTTTTATTTATTTATTTTCCCCCCCGACGGAGATTTAACGAGTGTAGGCTAATTTGTTTATAGCGTTGCATTACTCATTTGGTCGTACTGTACTTTAACAGGATGAGCATCTTTTCAATAGAAGTCTCTTAGTTTCATCACTACAAATAAAAGATAAACACATGAATCAATGTCATCTCCGCCCAACTCCTTTCAAGCTCCAAAAGTGAACGTTTACCGCTTCGACTTGGATGTCTTCATACTGGATGTCTTCAAACTGGTTACCAGCTGGAGGCTCCACCATGATCGGAGAGCAGACAACACTCCAACAAATATCGACGGTGTTCAAGTTAAAGCTTATTTGTAAACGGTGCTGTCTTAGGTGTTTCAGCGACAGCAGGAAGAAACATCAGAAGCGACTAACTCTTCTTCATGTTCGGTTCACATCTACAATGCTGCATTACCGCCCCCTTAGGTTTTATATGGAATTACTTTTGATTGTGACATCCTGTTGTTGCCGCACTGGACTTCAGCTGTCGTTTTGAGAAATATGTGAAGGAATGAAATTAATGCGTTTGGTTCTGAAATGATTGAGTGGTGTGGAATGGCAAATTCTTTATTAGTTGTCAAACAACTTGACCTGTTTCTGCAAAGCTTGTTGTCACACTTGTTTAGTCAAGTACCAGGATCATGACAGAGTGCTATACTGGGGTAAAATTCAACGATAATTTACTAATAGCTCCACCATCTGTATTTTGTTGACCATTTTAATGTGGCTATTAAGAGCAGAATGCGAGCAGGTTAAATTTTTGATGATCAAGGGTCACATTTGTCATGTTCTGCTCTATTTTGTTTTTGTTTTCAGCAACAGGTGGAGTGTTGGGTGTGACCCTTCAGCGGTGCACCTGTGTCTCGTCTCGCAATCAAGCTCCCGTGCATTTAACGACACTGACTTCTATCATGCCTTGTCTGATTATTGACCTTGTCAGTAATTTATGGTGAGATTCGCGACTGGTGAGGCACTACTTTCCCGGAACAGGGTAGAAAAATATGAACCCGAAAAAGATTAGCCTCAAATAAGGTCAAAATTGATTTTTTGAATGTTGTTTTTCAAACCTTAAATTGTTTCAATTGATTCCATTCTGGTGAACAACGTAGTAGCAAGAAAATGTAAATATTTAAAATAAGGCCAAGTTTGCTGGTTTTTGGGGAGATCTTTTAAAAAAAAAAAAAAAAATTCAATTTCTTTGACTGAATATGTTCGTCATTCTTTTCATCATACTTTTTTAAACGAAAACAAAAATAGAAGTCAGTCGTCGATACGATAACTAAATTGATTGACAATTTCATCAAAACATACAAGACGAACGATTCACCGCAGCGACAGAACGTAATTTAGGACGACTCAACGGCGAGTGGGGAAAAAAAATGAACCATTCCGAGCACGGGACGCAGACGGCGCGTCAGTTGATCGTTGGGAAGTTTCAAGTCACAAAATCCCTTCTGGGTCCACACAGTCTCACTCGTTGAATGAAAGGTAGGAAAAGCGGAAAAGACATTTGTTTATTTATTGCACCACACAAAAATCATAGTCCATCGGACAAATCTTACTTCTTGTGTTATATTATGATTTCGTTTCTTTTTCCTTTCATGGGGCTGGGGGCGCTGCACAGCCTCACCTGCCTCCCCTGAATGCACGTGATACACTGACTGGTGGAAAACAGCATTTGTGATTGTCCTTGGCCACTTTGAAAAGTTGGTCATGCCTTTTGATCTCACTCATGCTCCAGCTGTGTTTCAAGCACTGAAGAATGATCTTCTCTGAGATATACTCTGAGCTTTGTATGATCACAAGGATTAATCAATAGTGTGGAGAAAGCTATCGAATAATTCTAGATAACTGGGTATTGTAGATCTGGAACGTTCTCCCTATCTGTCACTGTGATGGTTGTATAAAGCACTCCTGTAGACTCCTGTTGACTGATAAACACTAATTGTGTCACTGCTCTCCATTGTAAATCTTTCACCTGCCACTGATTCTATAGTGCCAGCATGACTGAGGAAACAAATGCACACACCTCACCTAGTAAATCAAAAAGCACTCAAGTGCAAGTGTGGGTTTTCTCCCACCTTCCAAAAACATGCATGCCAGGTGAATGGAACACTCAAAATTCTCCATCTGTGTGACACTGAGAGTGGGTATGGTTGCAATTGGCGGGCAATAAGTTCAGGGTGTCCGCCGCCTTCTGCCCGATGACAGCTGGGATAGGCTCCAGTATGCCCGCCACCCTCGTGATGATCAGTTCTTCAGATCATCAATGGATAGAATATCAATTACACACACATTTTCACAATGAAATAGAAAAAAAAACAGTAACTACAGTCAGAATGTAACTGTCTGTATGAATTGGGTCTGCATACGCGCTAATGTGTGGATGTGAACGTTCGGGTTGGAGTTTTATCCAGCCGGCAAGAATGACAGAAGAGCCGTGTGAAACTGACGTCGCGCGCATGCAATTACAACAACTGTCCTCTGGGTGTCATCCAAAGCCGACACATTTTTTGAAGTGAACGATCTTTCCGATCCTGGAGGCCTCTCGCCATACTTGGATGTAGGAGGAAACAAGTACACCCAGATGAAAATTGATGTAAACGCGACCAGAATCCAAATCTCTTGAAATGAAGGCGTGCTACCCACACTGTGCTACCTATTTGGTAAATCTTGGTGCTAATTTGAATGTGTGAGGCAATGCAAAACAAACAGAACAACCAACATATTGGTTCGCTTGTCCTTTGGCAAGATTAGACAACTATACATTTCTGACATGAAATGAGTGTACAGTACACCATATTAATAAATGGTTTTATTCAGTGCAATTCCAAAGACACTTTTCATTATACATTTACTTTTATATTTGGACCGTTGAATTCCTTCTATAATTTGTAATATATCAGAAGAGGTCATTTTAAAGTAGGATGTGTAAGCACGATCAGCTTCAAAAGTAGAACCTAATACATACTAGTATTGACCAGGGGTGTCCACCCAATGGTAGCCTGGAGACTGGTCAATCACGAAGGCTATAGGGAGAAATCGGAAAAAAAAGTTGTCTGTCTATGTGCGTGTTATTAAATATTATATACTTTTGTGTTAGTGTACACTGCATCCTAAATTAGTTTAACCCTCCCCCCACACCCTCAAAAAGGAGCGTAAATAAATAAATAAAGTAAGTCTCCTTTTACTAAGTTGTGAGTGCAATTGCAGCGATCAGAGCCATTACGCATTAACATTAACAAGGCGAAAAGAAGAGTCAAATCCTACCATTTTCGCCCAGAGTGGGAGGAAGATTTTTAGGCATTTATTTTTTATAATTCAAAACCCATCTGTTTAATCTGCAAGGCAAGAGTGGCAATGGCGAAAAAAGGAAATCTCGAGTAGCACTTTAAAATGCCACGCGGGAGCTACGAGGAGGAGGTACCGACAAAAACCGCATATTTACGCTCTGCAAAAGTGTGGGATTTGACAGCACAGCTGGAAATTTGCAGGAAATGATGACCAACGGTAAAGCCAGGACTAGTGCTTCCTATCGTTTAACTTCCATCGCTGCTAAACGCAAGTAGCCATTCAAAGATGGCTATATTGTTAAAGAAGCCTTTCTCGAGGCAGCTGATAGCCTTTTTTGAATACTTTAACCTTTTCATGCACCCTGTCATGTGATAACCTGATAAGCTGTCCACTGTAGTAACCACTGTCCCTGAAAAAGTTGAAAAGAAAGATAAGATTGTAAAGGCCATGAAAGAAGTGCAACTTTTCCCGTAACACCACTGCAAGGCGATTTGAGGGACTGTCTGTGGATGTAGAGGAGCAACTGTGGAAGGATATTGACAGATGGGAGTGCTTTTCCCTTTCAAGTGTTATGGTGGATGTGACACAAGTATGTGTTTTCATCATGATGGTTTTTGAAGACATGACCATCAAGGAGGGGCTACTTATTGCTTTGCCATTTAAAAGACACACTAGATCCATCCATCCATCAATCCATTTTCCGATCCGCTTTATTCTCACAGGGATCGCGGTGGGTTGCTGGAACCTATCCCAGCTGTTTTCGGGCAGTAGGTGGGGGACACCCTGAACCGGTTGCCAGGGCACACAGAGACGAATAACCATTCACGTTCACACTGACACCAAAGGACAATTTAGAATCGAAATTGTCCCTTGGTGTCAGGCTAATGGAACACTCTAAATTTTAGTGTGTTCCATTAGCCGGCTATGCACGTTTTTTTTGGAATGTGGGAGGAAACCACAGTACCCGGAGGAAACCCATGCAGGCACGGGGAGAACATGCAAACTCCACACAGGAAGGCTCGAGCTGGAATTGAATCCGGTACCTCTGCACTGTGAGGTCGACGCGATAACTACTCGACCACCGGGCCACCCCAGCTACATCCATTCATCCATTATCAATGTCACTTTTTCCTGAACAGGGTCGCAGGGGAGCCTGCTGAATGTGTTTCCCATTGGGTGCAAATATTGATTTTGGCAACATTGCTGCCAAGGTTAACTCACTTCTCGACTGGTGACTACTTTATTGCCTACCTATGCCTTGCAACCAGCTTCTATACAACTGATTACGAGAAGCTCGCTGCCTCCTCCCAGTATCAGGTCTTCCTCATTATTGCTAAAGATCCGGCAAAGCTCGCGGAATTATAGTCACCTTGCCGGGTCCAAATGCGGAGTTGCTGCTGGCTCGCTTGCACGCTGCTCAGTAGCTTGCATGCTTTCTTCGTGCTGTCCCCCACAGGGTATTTTGATGCGAACGTAGCATGGCACGTTCAAAGGTGCATGCAATTTTGTCATTGCAAATTAGACACACCGCAGAACCTGCTCTCTCCACAAAGGCGAATTCTTCGGTCTATTCGCCCGAAAGTGTATCATACTAGTCTTTTTTTTTTTCTTTTCACCATCTGCTTTGTCAAAGGTTTGGCTTTGAGCTAATGGCCGAGCAGACTGTTTCAAAAGGAGGTGTTCACTTGTTTACCGAGCAACGGCCAACATAGGCCAATATCATGGACATGAGCAGTGAAAAATCGATGGATGGATTCAACAAGTGAAAATATTTTATTTTATCTGCGAGCCAGATGCAATCATCAAAGAGTCACACATGGCTCGCGAGCCATAGGTTCCTGCCCCCTGCACGAAGGTCTCTTACTTTTGTGCAATATGTGACCAGCCCGACACATGAACAAGGACAAATTTTAGACCTAGCTCTTGCTTATGGTCTATGGGTATCAAACTTGGAAGTCTTGGAAAAATTGCTTTTTTTTTTTTTTTTTTTTTTTTTAACCCTCTGCTAGTCGGCTCTCTGATGCCTCTCATAACCTTTGCGTGCCTCATCTAACACAGAGGAACTCACCTCTTGGTTCAACTCATCCT